CATGATGTTGTTCTGCAGACTGGAGATATTGGGCAGCACGTACTGCCATCTTTCAGGCCAGTCCCCTAACACCACAACACCGCAAGGCGACAGACCAGGGACTGGATGGCAGCGAATGTTGAGGATGATGTTGGACGTGGTTGGATGAAACACGGACGGGTGGTTGTTGTTTCGAAGGCGGGGCTCTGCGACGGGCTAAGAGCCGCATTATTGGTCAGCACGGGCCCTGGCGCGGGATTAGCCGCCAGGGGATAGATCACGTGAGAACTGCGAACAGCGAAAAAAGAAGAGATGGAAGAGAAACAATAGTTCTTCCCCCTTGTCGAGCACTGGATTTCAGAATTATTATTACTGGGCATAGAAAATATTTGTGAACAGCATCTTCCAGACACTGGCAGACAGTTCTGGTGTGTTATTTTAAGCATACACTCCGTTCCACTCAGTAGAGGTACAATTTCTTAACGCCGGCCTAATCTCCAATATTAGTCATGTCTTAGTCATTAGGAGCCCGCTGTGCTGTCAAACATGTAGGATAGTTGAAGGTTGTATTGATAGATCTATCTACAGGAACATATTATAGTGGTGGGTCACGTGATCTAGTGGGATCGCTAACCGCAACGGCCGTAAGGGCCAACACCCCCCCTCAAGATAACAAGAATCACATACAAAAACACCCAAACCACCAAGATAGTCTGTCAAAATCAAATACAAATGTAAAATTAAACATTCCCAACTTTTATGCCTGTAAGACCTAGTAAAACCATGAATTGTGTAAATACTACATTGTCTAGAGGTTTAGTAAGTTCATCTACTATTATCTGAGTGATGAAAATGTATTCTAAATCAATGACCCTCTGATTCAACTGTCAACATGAAAAATGAAAACACATATCAATGTGTTTACTTCAGACTGTAATGACTGCCATCTTTGTGAGATCTATAGCTTTCTTATTATCAGTGAGAATCTGTATCAGAGATATAGTGATGAAGTCAAGCTCAATTATGAGATTCTGAATTCATGTTATCTCACAGACTGCCTCACTAAGAGCCACATATTCAGTCTCATTGAAACTTAGAGATATATAAGATTGCTTTGTCAAATATCATGAAATTGAGCTGTCTGTGAGCTTAAAAACATAGCTGAATATTGATTTTCTATCACTATTCAAGAGACTGGCTCAATCAGAATCTGAGTAGCTGAAGAGTAGATAGAAATCATCAGAGAAATCAGAGATAATGAAAAGATCAGTAGAAATGAACCTCTCATACAGATCATATCTGTAGAAAATGCTCAGATTCATGATTTCTTTCAAATAATGTATAATATGTAATAGAGCCTTTCAATATTGAGATGTTGAATCAATATTCTGTTGAGTGAGTAGTGAGATAGCATGAGTAATATCAGAATATGTTTTAACTGTGAGATATTGCAAGCAACTCACATTATGTTGATATCACTGAATTATGAAATCAGTCTCTTTCTCAGATATAGAAGAATTATCAATGCAAATTTCATTCTTTATAGATATTCTGATGACAGCTGTATTATCAAGATAGAAATCTTTAACAAGACACTTGATATATTGATAATATATCAAATCAATTCTCTTGTCTGAACAATTGATCTTCATATTCAAATACTTAATTGACTGATATAGATTCTTGACTTTCAATTTCTCACTGAGTATACTCACTAGTCAATCAGCATTCTCAGAAGCTTTGAATATAATGTTGAGATTGTCAACATAGATTATCATATAGAGATGACATCTGAATGTATGATATCAGAGTACTGAATCATGAGCACTGACTGTAAATTCAAGATCACTCAACAGAGCTGTTAAGTAATTATATCAGATCTTCATCACAGAGTTCAGACTGTATAAACTACTCTCAATTACACAGACAAGTGTTTTCAGTGAACCTGTCTTAAATTCAGTAAGTTGTCTCATATAGACCTTCTTAGTGAGACACTTATGAAGATATATCATCACTATATTCACTTGACAGAGTGTTTAATCACATAGTGCTGCTATTGCAAAAAGAATATGATTAGCAGTATCAGTGATGACAGAAGTATAGATCTCTTCTCTAGAACTCTTCTTAAGTCAGTTACTATAAATCACTCAACACAATTTTCTAAGAATATTATCAGAATCAGTATTCAGATCTGCAGGCCTATCTTTCTCAAGAAATACTTAACAGCTCAGAGTAATTGATTCATCTCTCAGAATGTCAGATCTAGAGATCAAACTTCATGTATTATGTCTCTTCAGGTCAGTAATCTCACATTGCATGAACTTCTTTTAATAATCTTCTACTCTCTCTGACTGAGATATGGCATTCTTGTAGAACTTTGAGAGATTGCCTGTAATAAGGCTTGAAGTATAAGTAGTCAGCAATTTCACAGACTGCAACTATGTAGAATTCAGATCATCAATGTCAGAAGCATCTTCATCATCAATCAGATGAATATCAGATTTCAGTTCACCAGCATTATTAATAAGTGTCACAGATGTGACAACTAGTTTTTCAGTGATTGAGAATCTCACATCACTACTGACAATAATCTTATCAGACTCAGAATGTCATAGATGATATATTAATATATCACTGAATTCAATGATACAATAGAAATCAGCATGTGAAGAAAGCTTATTCACAGGCTGCTGAGATTCATGCAAGTGAACAAAAACCTCTGCACTTAATCAGTGAAAATACCTTACATTCAGCGGGGTATTTGTAAGTACACATTAAGAAATCTTATGTGAACTTGGAATCACAGAGATCTCTGCAGTAGAGGGTCAAAATTTTGAGTTGTAAAGAACTGTAGATATGAGAGTATTATTGATTATTGCAATCACTGTCTCTAGAACATCTGCTCAGAACTTCTTAGAAAGATTATCTTTCAAAAGAGCAGCTCTAACCTGTCTTATAATAGTGCAGATTCCACATTCAGAAACACTATTCTGATGTGACAAATGTGATACTGTTGATTTTCATTTGATATCATATGAATTTATAACTGTGTGCATATGTATGAATCGGAAAACATTATCAATATCAGTCTGTAGAAAAGCAGGAACTGTATATTCAAGATTACTCATGAATCTGAGTCATAACTCAAAGTATTGAACAGCTTCATTCTTGAACTTTAAAAAATATACTCAACAGTAGTGAGTTGCATCACAGATGATAAGCATTCAGTATTTAATTTTCTGGTGAGACTCTAAGAGGTGATCAGAGAGGTCTTTCAATGTACATTCATCATCTGCAAGATCAATATGAACCTTCTCAATGAGTTGAATAGATCTAGACATCAGTGTTTTCAAATAATCTCATGTCATATCAGCCTTGACACATTTCTCACAAAAGAACTTAGTCTTAGAACTCTTAATTATGACTTCAGTATGAGAATCCTTGGCCATAGTAATTATAGCATCAGTGTGAATGTGACTGAGATTATAATACCAATTTAAAAGAGTCTTTGATATCTTCAATATCTGTGTTTTCGCGTCCGCAGAATCGACATTATTAATAGTAGTGACAGCAGTCACAGAAAGATCAACTTTTCAGTTAAAATCATACTTGTATGACATTGCAATATACTTGACTGCCTTGTTCAGATAATTGGAATTCTCATTGAACTCTCATTTATTAATCTTATATATGTTGTTCTGAGCAGTCTGAACTGTATGAAAAATAACACTGTTCAGAGCTCTGCAAATGAAAAATGAGAGAATAGTGAAAGACAATATAAATCAGAATCTCTGATCTTCAAGCTTTGTAAATGAGAGCAGGTTAACTGTAATATTAGAAATATAGTGAATATTCTGTAAGTTAACATCATCACTCTCAACCTTCAAGATGACAGTCTCAATCTTCTTGACAAACTCAGTTCCTTCAGTCACAGAATCAACAGAGATATTATCATTAAAAGGTTTGATATTTGAAAAAGAATGAAGCTCACTTATCATATTCAGGCTTGCACATGTGTTCAAATATCAAGATCTAGAGAATGGTTTTTCAGTGACTGTGAAAGAGAAGTAGAACTCAATCTTTATAATTGCTGCATTTGCTGCTGATTGAGAACTCATTAAGTCATTCTTCTTCTCTTTCTTCTTGTCATTCTTCTTATTATTCTTCTTTTTCTTTTTATCAGAGTGTAAGATGAAACATCTGTTAACAGTATATTCATATCTTCTGCAGTGAGTGCACTTTCATACAGATGCACTTTTATTCTCATCTTTATTCTTATTCTTTTTCACAGTCACAGAATCAATCTGAGACTGCTTTTTTCACTCAGTAATAATCTTCTTGAATGTATGATTGATCAGTTGCTTCATCAAATCATTGATATCAATGTTGACAATGAGTCTCTGATCAGTGAAGAAAAACTCATTCAAATGTATCTTGACAAACAGTCTTTGATAATTCTGTAGATTATTGAGAAAAAGATCATGATATACATTCTCAGTGCTCTGACAGAGCTTCTTGTGATAAGTAATAAGATAGTGAAAATATCTCTGAAAAGTAAGATAATCATTCTTCTTGACTTGTAATTTTATCAATTTCTTGAAGATATTAACTTATTCTTCTATCAGTGATATTACATATTCAATGTTAATCTTGTCTCACAGAGCTGCAGTATTGTCAGCTTTCAAGGTTTCAATAGTGATTCAAACATTTTTAACAAGACTTGATAGCATACATCTATATAGAGACTTGGAACAGATTCTTCACTTCTCAGAGTTGATATGATATGTAAAAGAGAATTCTTGTTAAGTTCTTAATAGAATGTTAATTTCACTAATAACTTCTGTATCAGTCAACATATCAACACATCAGGCTTCATAATTAGAGTCATCAAATGTGATCACTGATTTGATATCTAGTGCATATTTGACTTTCTTCTGATATTTCTGTAACTCATTTCTTGTAGTGTCTCTTTGTGCAGGTGTAGTGAGATGTTGAGTGGTTTCAGCCACAGTCATCTGGTTTCATAGCATCATCTGTATAAGATTCATAAGATTGCCTGCGGTGCAATAGATAGGTTGATTCAGATCATCATTAAAAGTCGGCATTTCAGAGATGAGAAACAGTGGAGGATTCAATGAGTTGAAATGAACAGATTTCACAGATGAATGTTGACTCTGCTTTTCTTTATTCTGAAGTTCCTCCATTGTCTCATCATCAAATTCCATACTCTGGTGAAAACTGACCTCAGTCTCATCTTGCAAGTCAGGAGCTTCCTCATAATGAGTGATCATTCTATCAATGAGTTGTCTAGTGGAGCGTGTGGTCCTGGGCCTTGAGCTGGACTCTGAAGTAACAGGTGTATCACTCATATCAAGGTGGCTCTGCTTCTCCTAGGTGTGTAAAAAAAAGGTAAAAAGTGATATCCTCCACAATGGAGAACGCACTTTCTTAAAAATATAAAGTATATGAATCCGCTGACTGGCAGATTCAGGGAAAATGGAATATCTCTAATAAAGAGTGAGAGTCTTTCCAAAAAAGGTGAACTATCCGTGTCAAAAATATGTTGGTACAACATTCTAAAAAGAAAAACGTGCCATCCGGGCTATCACCTGTAGGATAGTTGAAGGTTGTATTGATAGATCTATCTACAGGAACATATTATAGTGGTGGGTCACGTGATCTAGTGGGATCGCTAACCGCAACGGCCGTAAGGGCCAACAAAACATTATCTTTGTACAAAGCCACTTTTGTTGGATTTCCGATGCTCCGTTGATCGCATCTCCACCGTCCTTTTCCATAGCCAGCACCATCGCTAACCCTTGACTCTCAACTGCTCTTCTCAGACACACTGTCACTATGGCTCGTGGAAATCAACGTGAGAAGGCCCGCGAAAAGACTCAGAAAGAGCTAGCTGCGCAGGTCCGTGTCTTTTTCCTCTCCGCCTCACTCCCCAGCTCATGTCTTGGGGACGGGGAATTAACCAAGTATATATATATATAGTAAAATCTCATCCCTGACCGAAAACTAATGTATACCTGTCTTTCACTCTTAACAGAAGAAGAAAAACACCCAGTCCGGCACCGAGTACGCCCGTACAAAGGAAGCCCAGGCCGCCATCATGCGCCAGAAGCAAGAAGCAGGTACGTCTGCCTTCGCCCCAACATGCTAAGCTGAATACTCCAAATATCAGATTGACTCTCACTTCCATGTATTCTTATTGCTTTTGCTTTATCTACCTCTGTTTGTACACCTCTCTCTCTCTCTCTCTCTGTGTGTGTGTGTGTGTGTGTGTGTGTGTGTCTGTCCCGGGCCTCTCTCTGCCTCACGTCCAAATTACCTGTCACTTGCAAAAGGGAAGCTCGAAATTAACCCACTTAATCTCAAATAGCAAATGCCAAAAAGGCCGCTGAAGCCGCTGCCGCTGGCAAGAAGAAATAAAGCCAACGCGCGCCGTCATCCGTTTGTCTACCTGACTTCCGACCTGTGGGGAAACGATTGAATAAAATGTGCCTCCCTTAGCCAAGGATACTTTTTTCCTTTCTTAAGCGCGGTTCTAAGCGTGTACACATATATTTTGTATATATATATGTTTTATATGTGTATATGTCTACTTTCCCCCACCACAAACCTTCTCTATCCTGAGATCAGACAAGACCGGTCGATTCAAATTGGCACAATAAACTTGAAGATATACAAGGACAGAGAAAGGTTGTTATGGATTGTGGTGGGGGCGGAGGAGAGAATCAGACAAGTGCAGAAAAGAATGGTTTTGGTTTCCTGACCTTATTAAATGGAATTGTGTATGTGTGCCTTTTGGCTTTTTCTGACATACAAATAAGGGGTGGGAGCTTTAAGAGACAGAGCTTTTCCTTTTTACTCTTTCCAACTTTCTTACGTTCCCTATCTTGAGATGAAATCTAGGCACATGATGAATTAACAATTTTCTTTTTTTCATTATTTCTGTTTTTGTCGTTGTCATCGTTGTTTTGCTTAGCGAAGGCGTCGTGATCCTTACAAACTTTCACTCTTCCCCTTTACCTCAATAAATTCAAGTTTTATATGCGAGCGTCTATCCTACAACCCCCCTTCTTTTTCACGTTTTCAACTTTGATTCCCCTTTTGAACGACTCAGTTATAGTACTACGCCCAAATTTGGAGATATTGCCAATTGTCAAGATGTGATTCGGTTTTCAATGCTTGTGCATTTTCTCACCTCACCTTTTCCACGAGTTTAGGCTAATATACCCTGGCGCAACGGACTGTACTGTACTGGAACTGTTATTATTAGCTACCGTTGCTTTTTATTATCTGTTAGCAGAAAACTTGATAATGCCAAGGCAGCTGTTGGTTTAGAATCAAGTCAACTTTCTTCCCCTCCTTTTTTGATTGACGCTGGAGGAGTTATGCTAATTGCTTTATCATCATAACGCAGTAAGCAAGCTGCCTAGGCTGTTGCTTAAATGCGAGGAGCCAGCGAGGGAATGAATGTTACTCCCATTTCATAATTATTTGGTGGCTTCAGCCATTGTCATTTACAATCGTCGCGGCATTCCGCTTCTGCGACGTTTGCATTCTACGAATCCATATCTTCCAACGTTTATTGGAATGTGAAGAGAAGGGAGGGTTTCCGGTAGCGGTAGTGACGCCAGCAGCAGGAGCAGGAGCAGTGCCAGGACAATTTATGTCGTCCACAGTAACATCACCACGCTCAGCGTCTGGCCCTCCAGACTCCCTAGTCAGCCAATCAACATCAACCCCAAACTTCTTCATAGCAAGATCCACAAAGATCCACAACCCCTCTCCATCCCATGAAACTTCCGCGCCCAATAGTGCAGTTTTATCCACAATCGTCTTCCTCAATGTACTCGCATCACCATTATCCTCATCCCCATCCCCATCGGCCTCTCCCACAACCTCCAACAACCAAAGCAAAAGGCTCCAAGCAGAAATATCCCGCCGGTGCGAATATGCAAGACACCATGTATGCACCGTTCCAAGAACCATCCTCGCAAGGACTCCTAGCCGTATTATTGCCGATTGCTGCAGTCCCGTCGTCGTGGTAGTCGCCAATAGTACCTGACATCGGGCAGCCGCAAGAGCATCGGCGAATAACCCCATAAACTCTCGGAGGTAGCTAAACGCGTAATAATTTTTCGGGTGATGCGTGCCCGCCTGTAGCACGATGGACACTTCATAGTTTAGGATCTGGTTCACGGCAGCATTGGTATCAGTATCAGCGCCATAATGCGGCAAATGATGCGAGCCAGCAAATGCTGCAACGGGGTCATCGCGGCAGAGGTCCAAAAGCTGCATCATGGTCCATTTCCGGTGGTACCATAACACGGGAGATTTCGTGTGACGGTGGAGTGGAGAGCGGAGGATTGTTGTAGTAAATGAGATTTCGGTGTGCAAGGTGGAGAGGTATTGGTTTGCGGGGGTGGGGCATTGTGATTGGGTTTCTTCTTTCAATGAGCATAATCTGCGCTTCCGCCAGTTACAGGCGGTTAGGTGTTCGGAGTCAAGGAGGAGGAGGATTTCAGTTTGGGGGAGGAGGCATTGGGGGGAGGAATGGAGGTTGGTGTTCGCTCCGGGTGGAAATTGAAGGGCGTCATCGAATGATGCTTTTGGCGCGCTATGCCTTTGACTCCTGCTAGGTTCGGATGTCTTGAGTTCCTGCTGTAGTGTGGGGAGGGAGAAGAATATTTGCCGTGCTTTTATGAAGCATTGTACAAGGGCTTTCTTGCTGATGCCTATCTCATTCCCCTCTTGAAGGAGGTCACCGAAGCCATCAGGAAGGAAGTGGATGTCGAAGATTTGATTGCCTCTACTCTCGAGGAGCTTGGTTAGGGTCTCATGATAATTCTGGGGCGAGGACATTTGGATATAAAAAGATCTATTTCTAGACTTAGGAAGTCATTGGGTGTCTGTAAAGTGAGGAGATGTGTATACACATCGAGGTATTCGGAGGTTGTGGGGGAGATCTTGCTGCACCAGTTATCACGTGGAGTATAGCTGGCCCAAGCTCCCTCAGTCCAGACAAACAAGACAAACAGAAACTTCGCCAACTTCCTTGTCGAAGACAACTCAACAGCAGAAAATCGTCGCAAGTGCTTCATTGTCCAGAGCAATGAAATACTGAATTCCCATGAGAGGACGCTGGAGAACCGCATCGCCACCTCGATCACTTCTTCAGCAACCAAATGCCAAAGCTTCATTCGTTCGCAACCCCGTTGAGCGCATCTCCATCCGCTCCCCGATCATTCCTCTTTAGCCCAACTACAAGGCATATTTCGCGAAAATGCCCTCACTACTCATCACCATCCTGTTACTTAACATCGTAATATATGTGATTAATACGATTGGTGCAGCTACAATAGATAGCTTGGTGCGAATGCGCCCCTCCCTCCTTCTCTCCATGCTCTAGAAAATAGCAAAAAGCTAATGGATGCATTCCTTCGCAGCTATGGCTCTTTTATATCAAGCTGCCCACAGGCACCTCACATATGGCCCGGGAACAGCGCCGGTTGAAAAGAGAAGTTATACAACTTAAGCGCGAAATGAACGCAACCAGTTCACAAGATGAGTTTGCGAAATGGGCCAAGTTGAGACGGAGACATGATAAGGCGTTGGAGACATATGAAGCTAAGAGTATGTTTGAATGCATTACGCTCTTCATATCATTCTTTTTGGACCCGCCCGTTGTTTTTTGTGCCGAATGAAGAGAGAAAAAAATAGGACTCGAGACGTGCTCGAAATCCCAGCACAAAAACAAATATACACCATTCTGACCTAGTAAAAAACGGGAAACCAACAGACAACGAACTCACCCAATGCAAATCCTCCTTCGACATGACTGTCAAATCCGTCCGCTGGGCAGCCACTTCCGGGCTAATGCTCTTCCTGCAATTCTGGTACTCCAAAAGGCCGATTTTCACTTTGCCGCCAGGATGGATTCCTTGGCAGGTGCAGTGGGTGTTGTCCTTCCCCCGTGCGCCGATGGGTACTGTGAGTATACAGATCTGGGGCGGCGCGTGCGCTACTGTTGTTGCATTGGTCGGAGATGCGGTGGGAGCTACTATGGGATTTGTATCCGCGTCGAAAAAGGAGGGAATGAAAGTTGGAGCAGGTGTGGGAGAGAAGGAAGGCAAGAAAAGCCAGTGAGTGGCAATGGATGTCTACGATAAAAGGAAATTTATGCTATGTTTTGTTTAGTTGCATGCCATGTATATACATACCATACACGATGTTCATGTCTGATTTACATACCAAACTAATGATACTTTTGAAAAGAGAATAAAAGTAGTAAAAACGTAAGGTCATTTAATTCTGCTAATCCAAATATTCAGCCGTGCGGAGTAAGTTTAAATATACACATATCTTCATGTCCATCAGATTATATTTTAATCATTTGAGTCTTCAACAGCTCTGATGAGCCTCAGTGCTTGACTCTATGATGCGAATCATCACGTGAACCGAAAAAAAATAGAAGATAAAAAAAACCCAATGAGGTCCCAGAACAAGAATATAATAACCAAAGTAATAAGTCTGGCCCATCCGACAAGGCTTCTGCAATGAGGCCCCTTTAATCTCCGTACTTTACAGGACGGAAAATGAAACGAAACCATCACCGCCGCTTTCCATAAGCTACAGACCTTTGACATTAAAAAAAGTGGTGAACTCCTCGCCTCAAGAATAAGCCCCATCGAGTTACCCGGCTCCACACACATATAATAATAATACACGCGGGAAACCAAGCAATCGCATGACTATCGAACCACGACGAATAGCAACCTCCCCCTCGCCAAAAGACCCCGCCCCATCTAAACCACCATTGTTTCCTCCACAGAATAAAACATCTGAAGAGTCGGGCTAGGACGGAGACGAGCCCTTCCTCTCCCTCGAGAGAAAAGAGGAAGGGAAGGGAAAAGAGGCGTAAGCCGCTATGAAAAATGCTTCTATGGCGGCGCGTTTCCGCAGTGCCTGGCTTGTTGCATGAGGAACCCTCGCGGTTTTAAGACGAGGGCGCAGGGTGTCCGGGGACTTTCTCCCAAAGCTAGGAGTAATGGTATGAAGAAGAAAGACTTCTTCTGTGCGTAAGCTTTGAATGCGATTCTTTGAGCGAGGAGTTGGGGAAAGAAGAAGAGGAGAGGTTTTCGAATTTTTTTTTTTTTTTTTTTTTTCGTTATGGCCTAGTGGACTAGGACAAATATGGTTAGTGTATTGTTCACGTGACATGGTCTTGGCAGTATGAAGTTGGATATCTTATTTTTTAGCAATGAAGAATGAAGGATACGACTCGAAAATGGTGTTTCGTAGGGTTTTGCTAGATTACAAGTTACAATCAACCGTCCTTTTCCCTTCGTTTGGACCAAAGCTCGGAGACAGTAATGGTAGCACTAACCACCGTTGATATCCGCAATTGTAGCTCCGTTTGAACACACATAGACAATGCATATATAACAGGCTGAGCAGTTGGAAAAAGGAGGAAATACAGTCCTACATTCCTCAAAACAAAAGGTTTCTAAATACTTAACCACAGATAAATATATAAGTATACACACAGACAAGAACTCCAAAGAAATTTAAAAAAGCTTGCAAAAAAGAAGCCCCTTCAACCGGTCACATAACCAAGGATCAAAATCAAACTCAAGGCCAATCTCAAAGCATCCTTTTCTATGCCTTGCTCTTCTTCCCCTTGGACTTTCCTCCCTTCTTCTCGGATTTCCCTGCAGTTGCAGGGCTGGCTTTACCCTCCCTACCCTTTGCCGGTTTCTCAGGGGTATCCACCACTGCCTTCTCCTTCTTCGGGGTAGATTTACCTTCCTTCTTCTTCTTCTCCACCTCGCCAGTCCTTTTTGCCTCCTTTACAGGAGGAGTATCCTTCTTCTCTTTCTCCTTCTTGGCCTTCTTCGGAGTAGTCTCCGCGTCAGCAACATGTCCATTGGGCTTGTCTGTATCCTTTGTCGGAGCTTCAATGGCAGCAGGCTGTTCTTGTTTATCCGCAGATGGCTCCTTTTCCACACCATCAATTGCTCCCTGTTCCCCCTCCCCGGCGACCGCAACAGGAACCTCATCGACCCCCTTCAACGCCGGCATCTCAAACTCATAACCAAGCACCTTCATCTTCTCTGCCCTGGCAGCTCTCCTCACCTCCTCCTGTTCAATCTTCTTAGACCACTGCTGCCTCGTCTTCCCCGCATCCATTCTACGCCTCTCAATAACATTCCACGGCGTCCTTTTGAATCGTTTGTTCGCTCCCTTCCACAGCTCCGGATGGACACGTTCCTTGGGTACGTACTTACATTTCAAAATGTGACCGAACATGAGATAGTTGTCCATCGTATCAGCGACGACTCTGGCGACAGAGTCGGAGGCGAACTCGATGAATGCGAAGTGCTTGGATCTACCTGTAGTGCGGTTGCGGGATAGGCGGAGTTGAGTGATGGGGCCGAATTGGGAGAAGTAGGCGCGCATTTCGTGCTCGTAGAAACCGTGCGGAACGCGGCTGTAGTATAATTGTTGTTAGTTAATAATTCTCTATTTGTAGGAGTTAGTTATATATGCAGCTTACCCAACGTAAATGGTGCCTGGCTCCTCCGCTTCCGTGGTGTTCTTCTTCATCTTACGCAGCTTCCTCTTCATCTGCTTTGCATCTGGGATGGCGGGGACCCCTTTTCCAGGCTCAAATCCTTCGTCCCCAGATATGTCTTCGTCACCGCTGCTTTCAAACCCCTGGATCAAGGCAGTAGTTTGGTCATCATCTCCTTCCCCTTCGCTTCCCTCGTTCTCATCCTCCGCAATTTGCCTAGAGATTTCCTTGGAAGCTTCTGTGACATCTTTGCTCTCCTTGCTAGATTTACTAGCGCTCAATGATTCCTTTCCAGAATCAGCTTTCGTGGCAGTTTTCTTAGCAGCAGAAGGAACTGATGGCCGAGGAACCTCAGCAGCCTTCTTTGACTTTTTCTTGCTAGGTTTTTCGGCCGCGCTACTCTTAGACTTTGCAGCAGCAGGTGAAGATGTGACAGACTTTTTCTTGCTCTTCTCGCGATCGCCCTCTTCCGCTTCGTCATCGCTCAGAAAGTCCGCAGCACGTTTTCGAGGCCGGATCTGTCTCGCAGGTTCGCTAGTAACCTTGACAGGAACAGACTTGGGCAAATCACTATTGGTGGCCTCTGCTGCCTTGGGCTTCTTTAGAATTGGCTTGGGGACATCCTCCTGAACCTTAGCTGGCTTAGATGTCGACTTCTTGGACTTCTTCGACGGCGGGTCCGCAGTAGTTTGGGCTGAGACTATGGCAGCTACGAAAAAACAAATTCGTCAGTGCCGGAAAAAAATAAAAATGGAAACGAAGAAGTAGGATCACACAACAACCAATAAACTAACCCTTGCGCTTTTTGTCTTTCTTCTCTACGGCCATTGTGTCAAGCGGAAGGGGCCGTTGGGGAAAATTGGGGTGCAGTTGAAACCTGGCGTTGTATGAGTTTGGTGGGATACGTTTTGAAATATTATGTACTCCGTAGATTATTTTTTCTTTTCGCAAATGGTTGCCAAGACATCCGCTGTAGCTCCAATAATGGATCTCTTTGGTTTGGGCCAAGACTCAACGCAGTTTAGCGCCACTCTAGCTAAAGACTTAAGAGATTCCACCGCCAACCTCTTTATTATTAGGGACAGGTTAGTGAACGAGACGTCCTGTATGCCTGCAAACACATATACAGGATGGGCAAGAGGAAACGGTCCAAGAAGAAGCCTCTTACCCAGGAGGAAATATGGGACGATTCTGCTCTGATCCAATCATGGGATGACGCTGTCGAAGAATACAAGGTACGAAGCTCCCCTGTCCACGTGATGTGATGCCTTTCTAACACCCTATGTTTCAAAATCAGCTCTATCACAGCATCCAGGCGAGGGGTGAGAACGTGGATGAGATCCTGAGAGCAGAGGAAGCCAAGGCTCGTGCTGAGGATGATGAAGCTGCTGTTAAAGGCGCCCATGACGAACTTGCAGCTGGGACCCAGCCAGATGGTCAACCTGAGGCTGAGGCTAAGTCTGCCTATGAGGAGGCCAATGATCAAGACATGGAGATGACAGGAACAGGGCTTCATGGAGAGCATGGAGACCAGCAGGAGGCCCCTGGCGCCAAGTCAAACCCAGAACCAAACCGCACCACCAGCGGAATATTCGCCAACATGCCACAGCTTGTCTCGCAGGGTGGAAGTGATTCGTCTGGTCAGTTCCTCCTCCTACTCTTTTACCTGTCTCATGTCACATAGTGTGGCTGAGCGAAGCATTAAACTAAATTTGAAATTCTCAGGTGCAGACGAAGGATTAAGAAATCTTATGATGGCATGGTACTTTGCCGGTTACTACACGGGTCTCTATGAAGGACAGCAACGGGGAACAAATCAGCGCTTGTGATGTTATTGATTTAAGTCTGTACCGTAAGGCAGATGATCGCTGGCGGCCCTACAGCTAAGACGGTTAATATATGGTGGCTAAGCCAAGCTGAGTCAACGTTCCATATCCGAGACAGGAACAGTTCCAAATCGAAGTATGGGAAGGGTGTTCTACAAATGGCAATCCATCCACTGGGTTTACGTACCTACTTCTGGGATATTACCCGAAGCGGGAGACTGGAGGATGCCAAATCAGGCTCCAGACTAAATTGAGATGTTGGAGTGTGATTTTTAATCCAAGAACGGATGATGGGGAAGGCATGGATGACGCTCCCGGGGCCGTCAGCTAGAATCACGGTCTGGGTAGCTGTAGCAAGGGACATTAAAAGGCATGAGCGATGCCTATGGGCGATCTGGATAACTTAATGACTATCCTTCACCCGAGTGTGGCGCCTAGCTGCACATGGCATTATAATGGAAACGATCACTGCTACCCCTGGAGTCGAAAAAAATATCAGTATTTTGTGGATGCCATGACATGTACTGTACATGCACGATATAGTTGAAATAACATCTTGTTGTACATGCATATCGGCCAATTACACAAGAAATAACTTAATTAGCCGGCGTTCTTTTTGGTGTGGCTGTTAGCCTGAATTGGGATCTATGTTTTCAAGGTATGAGTGGATTGGTATATTAACCGCTCCAGGCTCCGCTTAAAACTTCACACAACACAAATACCAAGAAAATCCGCATCAGATACCCTTTAATCAACTGCAGAAAAGAATTGCGAGTCCCCCAGCATTGCAAAGCTAGACCGTAATGCCATACTTTATTTAACTCCCGATGTGTAGCGTCCCTCGCGTGGCTGGGGGTTTGGGTGCACTCGAAACGTTGAAGCTCCAGCATGATACACTACTCGATACATCTTCAACCTCACCATCGTCAGACCTCCCCAGATCCGCCTCCCATCCAACCCAAATTGGAACAAGCAGGAGCATGAACTACGCAAAAGAGCCAGCTAGGCGGTTTGATGTCGGCGTCCTTTGGGAAACCCCTTAACTTTCAAATTCCCAAATTCCTATGCCGCCTACAGATTCATGCCAGAATTTAAACGATGCCCTCCGCCGCCCTGGGTCTCTGCTACTTCTTGGTTCCTATTTATTCTCATCTTTCAAGTGTTCGCACCTTTCTATATTTTCCTGTGCTGTTTCTTATGCTATATTTACTTTCTTCCTTCTTGTCTTTCCAGGAAGCTCAAAGGTTGTTGTCACTCATTCGATTAAAACGTTGCTTGCAGCCATTCACGAGCAGGACCTCGTCCGGTCATTTAAATATCTCATATCTCGTCTACCTATATTTTTCGTATACCTATTTACCCAGCTTAAAGGTTTTAATATTGCTGCTTTTGAATTTTTTTCGATTCCTTAACCGAGTACGCAGAAAAAGCAAGGAGAAATCTACGAGAGATTTGATATCCAAAAAATGGCACGATTATTCACTTTGGTTTCGCTCGTTGCAGCCGCAGCCGCATCCAACCACGCTGGTGAGGGCGTAGGTCTCCCGTTTGTTCTGGGAAGCGGTGGTGAACGTGGAGTTGGCGTCGGTGTCGGACCCCAGCATGGCGGTGGGGGAACTGGAAACCATCGCGATGTTTTTTTGGGAGGTGGAAACCAGCACAATATTATAGGAAAGGGGGGGTTTAATGGTCACCATGCACCTGGACAATCCATCAGTGTTACTATCATAACAACCAATGTTGGCGGTGGTGCGAAGCATCAAGTTTGGAACGAACCCCCAATGCAAAGAGGCAGAGAACATCGGGTATGTGATCGCTTTACGATATATAAAGATACCACCACCGTGCCACTGACTCGGTTCTCCATTATAGGTTATTGTTGGTGGTGAAGCTGGTCTTATATTTCAGCCAGAAACCGTAAACGCTGCTATCGGCGACATGGTGATCTTCGACTTCATGTCCCAAAACCACACCGCGACCCAATCCACCTTTAATCAACCATGCGTCCGGATGGCCCAAGGTATCGACTCTGGATTCATGCCAAATCCTAACAACACTGTGAACCCCGCGCCAAACATGCAGTTCCAAGTTACCACGCTGGACCCGGTGTGGATGTTCTGTGATCAAGGCAGGCACTGTGAGCAAGGAATGGTATTCAGCATCAACCCTACCGCCGAGAAATCGCAGGCACGATTCAAAGAGCTCGCCATGGCCGGTGACGCTGCTGTTCCCTCGCCTCCCTCTGCTGGAATCGGAGGTGGTAATGCCAGTGTTGTGTCTGCCACCCCGACTCAGGACATCACCACACCTCAAGCAACCATTGCTTTCGGAGACGGCCAGATGGGATCCGGAGATGCTTGCTCTTGCTCCTGCCTCTGTGGTATGGAATCGTGGCCTCAAGGCGTCGGCCTCAACTCCCAAGGCGGACTACCTGGTATGCCTTCTCCTTATTTACCCTATCTACCTCCGTGTCAAACAGGGCTAACAAAACTACAAACAGGCACTATCCCTATGCCGCAATCGTCTCCACTCAAGCGTGGCGTCGAGCCTCTCGATTTTTAAAAAAAAATTTCGATTAAATATATATTAGTCACAAAAAGGTCTCTAGATCCCATCAATATATGCAAATGGGAGCGCATGAGACTGAGAGAGAAAGAGAAGCCCTATCTCCCTCCCCTTGCCTCCCAACGACGGCGAATCCTTTAGGCGCCCATGTTAATACAGCAGTGGACGCAAAAAAAACTAGGGAGATAAAATTCCAATACCGTAGGAACGAGATTATAAAAAAATAAATAAAATAAAATAAATAAAAAAATAAAAAAATCTCCCCGAGCGTTAGCCCTGCCCTGCTGGTTCTAGTATGCAGAATTCAGATGTTAGGCTTCCCTCCCAAGGCGAGCCTTTAAGGGAGGAATGCCAACAAGAGCACCTCCAATATCTTCGACTCTTCTCGTCCTATTCAGCTCTCTATATTCCTCAACTCTGTTTTGTAATAGAAAACATAAACTTTTTATGACAAATTTCTCATTTTTTTCCCTTCGTTTCTTTCTCCCCCTTACAAACTCGCTCTTGTTTTACGTCCTTCGTGTGTTTATGATATGTGTATTCATTCCTCGTGCCCACCATGCCATGTACTGTTATATGCCGTTCACTTAATTCATTTACCTTTTTTTTTCTCTTTTTGTGCAATGCTCTTTTTGGGGCCCAAATGATGATGTATTTAATTACCCGCCCCCGCATACATATATAGATATATTTATACATATACCGCTACACAAAATCCATGGCCTATGTCCCTTATCAGAGATAATACATATTGTACTCAGCATTCAGTTTGTTTCCCCTCCTTCTCGACTGTGCCATGGCTTCATCTACGAGATACGAGATGGCCCACAATTAACCAGAAGAGCTTGAGGCGAAAAAAGAAGTCAACCGAAGGACATACTATGCGTACACTATTTTTATGCCACATTTGTAGTTGATACGGCGGCACATTCAACAATAAAAGGCATTGTTATTATTGCTATCCGAATTAAATCTGAAGGAAGAAATACTAGGCGGTGGTGAGACCGATATGGTTTCGGAGTTGAGTAACTACTTCCTTGGCTACCACGACTTGAATGCTTGATGGCGTTGAGATATGCCGGGGCTGCGAGGAACAAGGAACGTACATGATGGCGCAGCAACATCTTCTTCCAAGGGTACCAGCCGGTTATACTTAATTCATGCCATAACTAACGGTAGGACTCCTAAGGGAAGGGTACTAAAAAGCACTCTTTTAGTATGGCCAATGGGCCAGTGAGTTCGAATGAAAGAGGGCAAGAAGAAGTAAAAATCAAATCAATTCGTTTCTAACACGCTTTAACAACTTATATAACAAACGCTGGACAAATGTTGCCTTGATATGTATCTCCAACTCAATTTGACACGTCATCCTCCACAGAAGTAAATAAAGGAAAGGTAGACGCAACACGAGAGAGACGAAAAAATCAAAAGAAGAAAAGAGCAATTCTTGCTTTCTACTCTTCCTATTTTTTTCTTTTTTTCTTTTTGCTGTTGGCATGACTTTTGACCTCGAGACATCATTGTGAAAGGACGGACGAGACTTCGATGATGCCGTGCTTTTTTCCCTTATCTCTTCCTTTTATTCCTCTGCTTCCTCCACTATCATCGTGGAGCTTCAATTTTCATATCATTTTCCCTATGTATATCTATGATCTCGAGTCGCAGGCTCCAGCAGGTGCTTCTCGCGAACGACAGTAGCATAACACCGAGGAAGAATTTCCTAGTAGGAAAAGAGGCTTTGCGAAATAGAGCAAGCCGTGGGATGGAATGTGAGGGGAGCTAGACGGATGCTAATAGTCTTATGCCCCGTTCGAGCTGGAATGGTTTTATGAGTAGTTGCTTTATTGTCCGAGGCAAGTAACTGGGCTGCATTGACGAGATTCCCTATTGTAAACTCCGTTGTGGATTTGGGAGAGGGGGCAACGAAATCGTCGCTGAGACAAATAAACGAAATGATTTTCGTGAAATTTTTGGGCTTTGGTTTTTGCCCATTTGGTTCTGCCTCTGAAGTAAAAATACACATCGGTCACCTTTGAAGGGTCCACGACCCAATTCCCAATTGGCTACCAGGCATGTAAGAGAAAAGGAAATAAAAGTAGAGGGAAAAAGGCTAGGAATGTAGAGTTTATATATATTTATGCCCAAAAAGCGAACCCATCAATCGACTCGTCAGGCAGCCAAAATTATTCAAATATAACTTGACAACCAAACAACAGCTGGGATTAGAACGGGCATATCCTAAGATTTGTTCTCGGTCTCTTCTGTAATTTGTAGAGGTAATAGAGGCAAAAATAGGTTATTGCGAGAATAACTACCAGAACAAGGGCATGTCGGAGACCTGGAAATATGTATGGGGAAAAAAAAGAAGAGAAGAAAAAGAAATAGGAGAAATTGGAAAATTGGAAAATTTGAGGATAAGAGGATTGAGTGGTAATTTAACTATTAGCTAAGCAGGGTGATGATCACGTGGAAGTGGAGATGGTTCGAGATGAGTGCAGGAGCCAATAGCCAATGACGTAACAACAACCTTGACTCAGCAGCTAAATATAAAACACATAACCAAAACTATCATTTGCGATTGTACCTGTATATACTCATATATATTATATATATATAGTTAAAGTACAATGATAACCTGCACCGACACCAGTAGCAGCACAGCACTCCCGGAGAAGCGTCCAAGGTCGCAGAACAAGTCGGATACAAAATATGTAAAAAAGAAAAACAAAAAAAACGGCTGTATCATAAGGCTTCTAAATGAGCTGTGAGGTTATGCAAAAAAGACATGTAAAAAGTAAAAGTATGTAAAGGAGAAGAGGAGAAGAAAAAAAGAAGGCAAGATAACAATATCAGGCCAGAAGGGCAAGGGACAGAAAATTCATACCCGTGATCATACCCATGATCCCGTCACACCGTAAGAAAAACATAAAAACATAAATCACACCCGGGACACCGTGAATAGGGTAAAATAAGACAGGAGGAGAAGAGGAAGATGTGGGAAGCAAGCAGGATCATGTTCAGCAAAGATTTTCTTTCACTGAGTGGAGAAAGGAAATAAGAGAAGTGAAGAAGAAGATTGTGACGGTTCAGAATGGGAAGGGATATGGCTATGCTTAAGCTACTTCCTGGTAGCCGCAGGCAGAATCAGAAAAAGTAGGAAAATAAATCGGAGAAGAAAATATCAAAGGAAAATATTGTAAGCATGGGGAAAGGGGTAATGGGTAAAAAGTAAACGTAAAAGTTTCTGATATATGTCCATCCACCTCGCCTCGTCTCTGACCTCCTCTTACCTTCCTCTCTGTTTGATTTTGGTATGCCGATTTGGTTGTACGTCTGCCCATTCCAACAGACATACCAGCATGCACACAGAAGCCAGAAAGAAGAGAAAGCCACAAAACATCACCAAACGACAGCGACCGCCGCCTCACGCCTCAAGCTGGTTAATCCGAACTTTCAGATACTCAAACGTTGTCAGGAGAATCATATTTTGAAACGCCGTCCGCGCGATCGAGACCGACATGCCCTTATACATAGACGAGCGCGCCGCGGCCATCGACGCCTCGCCGATCTCCTTAGATTTACCTAGTAGGATGCACTGCGCCCGTGTCTTTTTGGTGTCTAGTGTATATGTCTATATAGCATATGTCAATAATAGGTACTAGTGGGAGTGATATAACATATGGGACACCATAGATAGGGTTCACTCACGCATATCCAAGGAATAACCCCGGATAACGCCCCCGCCGCCATTGGCGCGCCAAAGGGTGACTGTTGATCGCCCAAGTAAGTGGAGATGAGTTGCTTGGCGGTCTCGTAGATGCCAAAGTAGAGTCCGGTTCCGATCGTATCGCGAATTGCGTGCAGGCGTACACCAGTGTATAGGCCGCGATAGCCATGGCGGGAGACGATTTGCTTTATGGCGTCGATGGTGCCGAGGCGAGGCATGCCACGGAGGGATGTGTGGCGGTTGGTGGCCGTTCCAGCTATCGCGTGCGATCTGTTTGCCATGAGGACAGAGGTTTGGACGACATTTTTAGCTAGCTCGAAGGGACCTGGGGAGGGGGTTAGAATGATGGGTTACTTTTTTACATTAAAAAAGGGGATAGAAGAGGGGGAAGGGAGCACGTACATGCAAGAGGGGTGGCGGCAAGTCCAGCAACCATTCCAGCTATTGTAAAACAGGACACAGTGCCGAGAGTGGGGAGGCTTCCTGGGGTATTGTATAGCACCAGGGGTGCTTCTCCAGTCATCCTCTCAATGGCATCGGAGAGGGCGTACTTGGCCTTTTGGTATACCGTAAAGTTTGTAACACGGACAAACGTGACGCTGACCATGGGCGGTAAAGCTCCTGTGTTCAAGAGTAAGAATAAGAATTCAGCCTTTTCCTTTGGGAAAGCCAACTAGTTTATCCCGATTCTACGGCTACTACAAGGACAAACAAACCTGCAGTATACCCTCTAAAGCCCTCCGTACGCCAGATATAGCGAGCGCAGTCGGTGAGGCCTCGAAAATCATGACTTGAGAGTGTAAAATAATAGATAGTTAGACTACGGCACAGCAGAAAAGTACAAAGCGGAGGGTGTATGGGCGCGGACTACTCACGTTTGCATGCGAGTTTTGAGGTTTTCCAACGGAGTCTAGGAAACACAAGAAAGTCAATTTATCTGCCCTGATCTATTTATAAAAGAACTCATGTTCATTCATACATAATACACAAGAGTAGGAGCCATACCACAGAGAGTGTTGCAAATATAGTCGAGGCCGCAGAGGCAGCCTGGGTTCTGTACTGTTTCAACAAGCGGTTTCGCGTGGGTTCGTCCATGTTCCATATGCCATAGGGCATCTTAGCGTTTGAAGCTGGGGACGAGGCTACAGCGATAGAGGAGGATAAGGGAGAGGATGATGATGCTGATGAGGAGGACGAGGATGCGGAGGCGGAAGACGACGGAACCAGCGACGAAGGCAACGGCGATGACGAAGACGCAGCAACAGTGGCCGGGTTGATGGTGGCATTGTTGATAGTCTTCTGGTGTTGTTGTTTTTGTTGTTGCTGCTGTTGCTGCTGTTGTTGTAGTGATGGCATCATTCTGTTTCCCTTGTTTTATTTTTCTTCCTTCCCTTCACTCAGCGCGAGGACTATAGGGGCAGGTTGTATAAGCTGTCGGTGATGATGGTTTCGTCGCAGCTGACTATCTCAGGGCCATGGACCGGAGAATCCGATGGAACGCAAAGTGGTCTCTCAGCAAAAGGAGTGAGCAGACCTCTCAGCGTCCCACAACTGTCCATTGAGCGTGCTGGCAACCAGTATTTACTTTTGGTTAGGGAAAAAAAAAATTCCACAAGTCTTCTTAATTCCAAGGTAAGGGAGAAAGAGATGGAATCGGCTCCGGAGCGTGAACTAGATTTTCTTGAGGCTCGACTTCCAGGAGTAGGGTGTATATATATATTAAAAAAACGAGCTCTACATGGGGTAGACTTTAGGCGGATATGGGAGCTCGAGCGGGAGCGGCGGGAAAGCAGGGATGGCGAAGACGAAACCTGAGCACAATTCAGTCAATGAGAAAGATTCCTGACAGATGGTCAGTCAGAAAGTAGAGGGGATGACATAGAAAGGATATATACACACGAGGTAGTGGTGACGGTGAGGCTTGGTGGATGGGATGGGGTGGATAGGTAGTAAGTAAGTAAGTAGGTAGGTGGCGGAGGGAGGGGAGGTAAGGGAGCTATTAGCGGGGTGTGAAGCAAGCAATTGAAGGATCTAACCAAGCTTTCCAGAGCTGATTGTAGGAAACTAGAAAGCAGTGGGCTGTTTGAGAAGGAAGATACAAAGCTCTCTCTCTCTTTCTCCCAGGCAGACACCACGCTCGATCGAGAGGTGATTCCGCAAAAGACAGACCAAGAAAGTGGGAGATCAACAGACAGCAGAACAGAAGAACAGCAGACAAGCAGAACAAGCAGACGAACAGCGGGCAGAACTCACCCGCAGAACCTAGTCCCAACTGGGCTAGCTGACTAAGGCCGCCTGGACCTGGGCCTCGAAGCCAGTGCCAAAGCCAATCACATCCATTTTCTGACAACCATTTCCTTGATTAGGCCGTCACGCTATTCCACTTCAGGACTAGATTTGTGGCTTTGAGTTTGCTTAGTGGCTGCGAGTTACTTGACCTCGCTAAGTGCGCCACTTGCACTTGACCTCGTTATGTAAGCTGACCTCGCAAATGTGGCCTGTGCCACTACCTGACCTCGCTCAATACATCTTTTCTTGTAATTTGAAACCACTCAATTATTTACCATCAATTCTACAATCAATTCAAAATTAATTTAAAATTAATTTAATACTCCATATAATGATGTGACGGTTAGACGGCGGCTGAAAATGGCGGTTTTCATGGCTGCTTTTGGCCTCCCGCTAACCGCCCAACCTCGATCATCACGTGAATCTATCCCCACGACCGCGGTGCTTCCGTCCACACGATTTTTGAAGTTCCTGCATTTTTGCGAGCTTTCAGTCACCTTCACTCACCCAGCTCCCCTTCTTTTGGGAGGAGAAGGGGGGGGGGAGCCGTTTTTGATGCTTCACTCTGTCGGGTTTGGCCTCCCTCTCTCCCATCATGTTATTCTCTCTGTTTTCAGTCCCCATCACTCTTGTCATGTTGTCTACGGCTCCTCTTCTTCGCAGAGCCAGTTCTATCCATGAAAGTGTTTAAAAGTCTTTCATTACTTGTTTCTGTCTCTCTCTACTGTTGGCCCTTCTTGGGCCGCCTCAATCATGGTGTCTCTGTCTTGTTTGGCTGGACCTGACAAGCAGGGCAGAAGCAAGACAGATGTCAGATCTGCTCTGAACACTCTCTTCACACTGAATGTCATTTTTACAGACAGTGAGTATGAAAGTGGCTCTATCAGCAATGATGAAGACAATGATGACAGTCAACTCTCTGCTGAATACTACCTGGCCTTAGCAGAGAGTCTTGATATCACTCAGCTTCAACAGAAGTGATACAGCTTCAAAACTCAGGAAAAACTCAATAAGACTTATAATTACTGAGAGAGATAGACAGTGACTTATTTTATTCTTAGAACTGTGTTATAGACTCATCAGTGATACTGAACAGATATTATCAGTATCTCAAGACTAATACAGAGTGACAATAAGATCAGATCTCAGATTCAGAGAAGATAGTTCACTTTTTATATATATTCTTCAGTTAACAGTATAATATGGCATAAATGGGATAGTGTCTCAGGCAATTATCATTATTATTAGAATCAAGTTTAACGTCCGTGCCCAGCCTATAGGCTACGACAGACTCGTCTCAAGCAATAAAAGGAAGTATCGGTGTTAAGTAGTTACTTCCACTCAATTGTGGATTGGCCGATTGTTTGTTTGACAGTATTTTGCGGGTCATCTAGAATAGGCAGGCATGACAACATTTCTATATCTTAACGAAGTGGCAATTTTATCGTCATGCCACTTTCTAGAAGTCTTTTTGCCTCGTGCTGCAATCTCATCAAGAAGATAATGTCCACTGCCCCAAACCTATACCTCGGCCGATGTTTGTTCAGTGGACCGACCGAATTTTAATTCCATTGCCCTTACTGCCAAAGTTTAGCTGAGTGCTCTTTTGAATGTAGTTCCAGTTTCCGTTTGTTCAAGTTGCCAGAGTATGAAGGATAGCATGATGTGCAGGAATTCACCAAGCTCTTCTTCATTAGTAACGTCAAATGGCCCGAATTCCTGGATCTCAAGAAACGGAATTTCCCCTTGCGCTGGACGCACTGGCTGGATACCTGAGCCAAAAATATATTTGAGATATGTATTGTCGTAGCTCCCAATGCTAATGTGGAAATACAAGTGGTCTTGAGCTACCATGAAGGTATGGTAGGTATTGACCCTTGTTTTCCACTGCAACAGAATCATTGTCAGTAAGAAGTTCCATCACCAGTTAAAGGGGCATGCAAGGATAAGGGGTTGGTATCGCCGTCGGGTCATCTTCATGGCGTTTCCATATGTAGGCGACATGCTCCATTGGGCCAAAACAGGGATGCTACCTCCGCTCTCCCCACGCGCAGCACGTTTTGCTTCGAATATCGCGACTTCACGTGGCATGCCAGCCAGAGATAGACTGAATGGGATGCTCCCATCAATACGGGCTCGGAACGTAACGTCGACTTGTTGAGAAGTATTACGGACAGGGCCGAATGTATAGGTCGTCTCAAAGGAGTTTGCAATGCAGAGGGGCCTGGGGTTTAGAGCCTGCACAAGACTTGCTAGGCCCCCAAGAAGAGTGACCATAAAATCCGCAACGAGAGTCTCAGTTGGGGTTCGACGAGGTGGTTCCTTATCTGTTGGTTCTATAACCGAAGTCGCAGCAGGAGGACGCGCATGAGTAGGACAACGGGCTATCGGCTGATATCCGACGTCTGTCATCTCAATATCCCCCATTCTGAACTCCTCTGAGAGAAAGGTCTGGCGAGTTGGACTTGTAGAATCTACAACTGCTGAGGGCCGCGTAGCGTCGTAGAATCTAATTCTTTTGGGAGCCCCGCCCAATGGGCGTTCATTGATCGGGGCCTGAATTGATCTATCCAGAAGTTGGTTGTACACATTAACTAGCATCGAGAACGGGCCTAGCCCATCCGCAAGTGTGCCAAAATATTCGGGAGGAGTTCGCTTGCGGGGTTCCTTTGGATTGCATATAATGAGATACAAGGTCTTCAGCTTATCGAGTCCAAGGATGTTTCTGTGAATAAGTTTCGTGGCATCATCGGAATGGTCTTCATTGAAGAAATACTCTAGATTGGCAATATACGTGGAGGCATCTTTGGGCCTCTTCTTCTCAGGCCAAATACAGCGGATGGTAAGGAATGCTTCTTTTGAAACAGTTGATGCAGAGAAACTCCCTGCACTCCTGACATTAGATGCCTGTACTCAGATCCAAGATTGGTCAGGGTGCAGCTACCTTCCATGCACAGTTGTTCGAGGGTGCGCTGTTGAAGGCCATACTTTTGTATCGCTTCATGCCATTCCTTCTTATTGGATGGGATTTTGTCTAGGCCTTGAGCGGCCTGGCGACGAGGAGCCGCCATGTCCGCGCTAAACTTCGGAGGGCGGGGACGTGCTGAGGTAAGTTTAACCTTAGTTACGCTAGCTTGATATGGTGAGCATGTGTACAGTGATCCCACCTTGAGACAGCAGAGATAGGCGACGGAACCGGCAACTAAGATAAATATTTAAAAAACGAAGAAGCTAGGGTAAAGGGCGCCTGGTGCACAAGTCACGTGATGAACAACAACAACAACCCCCATCAACATCAACAGAGGTCGATTTCGCCATCAGACCAGCAGAGCAGCAGATGGTTCCATTAACTGCACGTTATGCAATCAGAAAGAAAGCCTTGCCATTGCCCGGAGCAGGTTGGCTGGCTCATGGCGGGTCTTTTTCACCTGTACATCTCCTACTCATCAGACTTGTTTCCCTTCTCGTGGTTGCAAAAGACAGAGGACCTCAAGGTGCGTTGTAGGGACAGCATCAGAGAGAAGGCGACTTTCTCAATATCCCCAGAGCTCCTACAAGCTATCCACAAGTGTGAGAGAGTTACTGCGCCGGAGAAAACTCTGGGCCTTCCAAGTGATTGGGGTTTCTCTGGCTTCATGAAGACTGCTGCCCACCAGGTTTTAGATGAAGTTCCCTTTACTAAGGCTGAAGAGTATGTATGATGATATATATTTGATGCTCTTCATTCACCTTGCTCACCTTTTCTTGCTGTTTTACCAGGTTTCAAGGCCCTCTTTTCCGCAGACTGGGCATCGGCATCATAATCAATTCCCACCCCCGCATCAAAGGGGAACAGATCTTCTATCTTCATCATAATCACTGGAGCTGCATGATTCGGGATCGCTCAAGCACAGTCAATACAAAACTGCAAGAAAACAGCAGAGATTATCTTCTGAAAAGTGAACTACTGGCAGTCACATCAATCTTTTACCGTCAGATGAATGAGATGGTGTGGCTTCCTGAGGAGAACCGGTACATGGCCAAACCCATATACAAGGAAGGTTTCTTGGCAGTATGTACATTCTCTCTTCTTGCTTCACTCTTTGCATCTCCTTCCCATTATTCATATTCATAGGATTGTGCGAATGCTGAGAGTACCCGCCAAGGCCACGGTTGTGACATTCATTTATGGGAAAGTACGCATAGTCCAAGCGACCTGCGACCCATCGGAAACGAACCCAATGCTCACCTTGACACTGAGGGCTGTATATGACCTCGGCAAAGACAACTACGACAGAAAGGTAGCCTTTGATATTCTGAAATGGATTTTCTGTCCTCCTGAGCCCGCCAAGGAGCTTGCTATAAGACGAAAGCGGTAACCGATTTAGCTAGAAGCAGGCTTGAAATGTGTGAGGTAACAAGGCTGGGACGTATGCCTAGAGAGAGTTCTTCTAGGCTATGAGCGTTTTGTGACGGATTTGAATTTCAACGGAGCGTATAACAGCAGTGACCAAATATCATAATAGCTTGGCAACTGGGCGCGGAATAAATGGAAGAGTGCTGAATCACGCAGCGAATTTTGCAAATCAGCTTGAAGCTGTATTAACAGTATTGAGTAATACAGTACAAACAATGAAACAGGTGCTGTATCCTATTTTAATAGGATCTCGATTGACACGCCAGGGCCACTACCATCCCTGGGGCCAGTGCTGTCCCTGGGGCCACCGATTTTGCCGTCCCTGGGGCCACTGATGTCCCTGATCTCGTCACAATCGATGCAAGAAGTACGTAAAAAATGCGGACTATCATTTTTATTGATTGGTTTCTATTGATCCATATTTTAATTTTTAAAGAGAAATTACTCGAGCGTTTCTAAACAAGCCACTCAACTTGATCCGGGCGGACAAGGCCCCGAGGAGGATGAACATGCTGGTAAATCAAAACCTGGAGCATCATCACAGTCTGCATTAGGAGAAGAGATCAAAATCACTTTTAAAATTTTTGAACAGGAGGATTGGAGAGAAGTGGACACTTTATTCGTGGGGCCCTCTGAAATTGATCAGGACGGACGTTGCTCTGTGATTGAGCGGCTAGTGAACAAATACGGGCGAAAAGGATTCGTACTGTACAACAAAGACATCGAACCTTCTGACTGTTTTCAGGTAGCAAGAGAAGATGGAACAAACACAGTTCACTTGGTTCAGAAAGAAGCAACTACAGACAGACAGTCGGTTTTCATTTCTAACAGGTCAAAGCCTGCGGAACCGGTAGCAAAAAAAGCAAGGACACAAAAAGATTAACCTAGAAACTATCTACAAATGTAACAGCCGGCATGGGTTGGGGGGTGCACTGGTTTGCCTGCCACGGGGCCTGCTAAGGTTTGTATTTACAGGCTACTTCGGTTAAAAGTCATAGACCAGTGAAGGACCTGTGGCTGCTGCTCTGTGTTTGTAATAGGTAGTTACAGGTCAGCCGGCACAGGTTAAACTGACCTATGCCAACTAACCTATATCTGGGTATCTGTACCAGCTCACATAAGCACCTTGATATGGATTAGTCAACACCTACCTACCGAAGTAGATTCTATCCAACCCCAAGAAGGATCAGCGACAAAGCTGAGGCGCAACCCAACAAAGAGGAATATAAACTAGTTCCTGAGCAAGTTGTGAAGACAGTGGTTGAATGTAGTAGTTAGAGGGTGGAGGTTCGGTGGTTGGGATCAGACAAGGCAGTATGTTGATTCTTGGGAATATTGTGAGTAGCTGTAGTTTGAAGAGTATGATTCATCGGCAAAAGTAAGTGAGGAAGAGGCAAACAGTTGCAGTATTGATTGATCAGAGAACATGCTGACATCCTGCTCCTCTTGTGACTCAGTCGGAACCATCATCATTGATGTGTTCTGGTCATCTGTAGCCTTGTTCTTTTCCATGGTGAGGGGCTGCTGTGAAGAAGACTGAGACTTCTTCACTTTTGATGGGGCAGGGATGAGCTTCCTGTTTGATTGTCCTAGAGATGCTGAGGAAGAAGCGATGTTTTGTTTCAAACTCTCAACATGTTGTTGCTCTAGCTTTTTGCCTGATTTTTGTCAGTTAGCCGAACCAATGTTGATGCTATTTAGAACACTATGCTTACGGTACTTTCGTTGAGCAATTCGATTTTGTATGCGCCGTTGTCCAGCCAAGTCTGATATCTTTGTCCAATCTTCATTGGGATGGGCGCTGGCGCTGAAGGCACTAGATACTGCTGATTTACATGTTGGGCATATTCCTATGAATTGTGCAACTAGTTTCTCAGGGATTCTGTTAGTTCTGCTGTCAGTCTATATGATATTTTTAAAAGGGAATTTTGGCCCGTAGCTGCGATGGGCGTACCGAGAATATGTCTTTCTAGCTTGAGCTGCAGTTTTAGTCTGGCCTTTATGTTGGCATTGCTGATGTGCTCTTGTCAGAACTTTAAAGAACTTCTCTTGAATTACAATAGGTTTTCCGTTGCTGCAGATTAAGTGTTCTGACTGGACGCCTCAATCAGTATAAGTTATCTCATAAGACTTTTAAAACATACCTTTTTTTTGTGTCTGGTTATTGTTCGGTTTGAGTGTGAATGATTTTTTCACCCAATCTCTTAAAATCATATGCAGCCTCAGATTTTGAATGACTATACTCAATTCAAAATGAAATTCCAACATTCATACCGAAATTTTGCTGACACTCTGGATGTGTCTTCAGAGTTAAGAAGCACTTCTTTGATCAGTCCTGCCTCTTTTGAGGGTATTAAAGGCCTTTTAGTCGATTTTCGAACATAGCTATTAATCTGTCAATGACCTTTCCTAGAGGTGAATAGATATAGTGGTTATTACCACTCCATGAGCTGGTCAAACTCCTTGACATATGGAAAGCCTTCAGGGGCCGGTGTCACTGGGTCAGATGTCATTGAGTTCCCACTATATGATATCTGCTCTTCAACCTCAACCTGGTCTGAATACTGAGGAGCGTACTGTCCATGAGTTGGCAGAAAATCTTGTTGTGTTTGTGCATTCATTTTGAGTGATACAGTGAGGGACTTAATTGGAGAGGGCTTTAGGAAAGACTAGAAGATGGGTTGCTCCTGTCCTTTTATGCTTGCAGATATGCAGCCAAAACCAGGATATTTTTGGTAGCCCATGGACCATCAATGAGGCGCCCGCATCCGCACATTAAGATACGGACAAGCTTATTACAAGGGTAAGGAAGGTTCTCTTGGGGCAGGACAGCTCACGTGTGGTAAAGCGACCTGGGCGTCTGCACGACCCCCGCTGAAACTGCCAACTTCAAGATGATGCTTCCTAGAAACTCCTAATGAGCTGTTGATTGAGATTTTTGCCCAAGTATGTAAGTTACTCCCACATTTATTCTTTCCTTCGACTGACACCTAGGCTAGTGTACTCTGAAAACTCTTAGTTCTGCCCGAGAAGCGTGCCAGCTATTCAATGACCTCTCTCTGCAATTCTACTTTTTCCATCGAACAATCTACATCCCCATTGAATGTGAAAGTGAAAGTGTCCAAAAATATATTGTTGTTCTCACCGGAAACGGAGCAAACTATATCAAAAGCCTTACTATTCAATGTCATTCGCCTGATTCTGTGGATGTAGACGCACTTCTTAAAATTATTGAGAATTTGGGCAGGCTCTCAGCACTAAAGTACCTAAGGTATGAATCGTTCGTGGCAGGGATATATTCACAACATGCTGACATTCTGTAGCGTGTATGGCAATTTCCCCCACCTGGATAAACTTGTGTCGCATGCCACATCTCTCCCGGAATTGGAACATCTATGGCTTCCCTCCCAATCGCCGTGTCGTTTCGGCCCGAACCTCCACAACCTTGCTGTTGACAATACTCTCTATTTGCACAGCCAGTATGTTCCTGGGTTAAGACAATTGGTGCTTGGTGGCTTTTCTAATTCCGAGCTTTCTCCTAATCCCGACTCCTCTCTTAAGATCGGATTTGAGCATATTCCAGAATTGAAAATACTGAAGTTGTCTGGGGGCGGATGGGATGTACCACTCTTGTTTCAGGGTGAACCTTCAGCTTCACTGTACCAGCTTCTAATGATGAATGCTTGGATCACACCTAGCCTGCCCAACTCTATTGCGCTGTCGCTGAGGGACCTGCGTCTTTGCCTTGTGATTTTTGAGCCATTTTCTCACAACCTACCGGCAGACTTGCCATGCCTTGAAATATTAGGCCTCTTTGACTGCACGAACGCTGATCTATTTTTCCATGGTCTCAAATCCCCGAATTTAGTGCAACTGGAAGTATGCCAATGCGACTTCGAGCTGGACAGTTGGCTCTCAGAACTTTTATCGTCTTGTACACATATGAAAAGCCTTCATTTGCATAGCAAATTCCCACTTAGCCCGACCCTCTGGCGCTCAATATGCGGCTGTGCTACTTTGCAGCGCCTTGAACTCATCAGCCCAACAGCTTATGATTGGGGGACCTTCAGAAACGAAAAATCAAGCTTGATATATCTTGGAGTGAACGGGGATCTATCCGGATTACAGCATCAACCATCATTACGAGAACTGCTTCTTTATGATCAGCAAAACTATCAACAAATTCTTACTTTGACTAATTCATGGCGTAACTCTTCTCACCAACACGGAGGTAGTGCCAATCTAAGACTTAAGCAAGTTATTACCGAAGATCTGACATTCACGCTACTGCCAGATGGGGGGTTAAGAGAAGATGAGACCGAGGGCCCTATCTGTAGCATGGACCATTGTTGCCCCAAGATGGACCTTTTTGAATATGAATGGTGGGCTGTCGATTTACACGAAGGTTGATTTATTTGAGAAGGAAGTGTACCGGTATGAGTACTTCTATCTTTGAAAACAGGAAGGCCATTGTTTTCCACATAATCCAACCCTATAATAACTAGGTGCTTTCCAGGGAATGGCTCTTCAATGCCACTCCTATCAGTCCAAACAATTGCATAATATTTGACCACATCCTTCAATGTCATATCCAATTTCCGACCGTGCTAGTTGGCAAATGTCCACCCAGGTGGCATTCTGTCTGATTACATTGAGGACGTCTTCCTCTTGCATTTGATGCACTGCATGATCGGCAATGAAGAGTAGAATGATTTCTGTTGCCCAATCTTGATAGAATGGGCTCCACGTGCCCATCCCATCCAGGATGGGAAAGAGGGGATTCAAGGTCCTTGGTGTCCATGGCACTGAGGATTCCGACATTGTTTGATTGTCAGGAGCGAGGTTTTTGGTTTAAGGAGAGGAGTGAGGTTTTCAGTATAAAGATCTTCTGAATCAGCTGTGGTCGGTGGAGGGTTGTCAAGATGGAGATCAAGAGTTGCTAATGTTGAGTGATGTAGTGGTCGCGTGTGTTGGCGAAGGTCTGATAGTCACATGTTCCTGCATTTTTGAAGGGATCATTCTTGAATGTCTTTGAGATTCTTGTTCCAACGATTAGAACCCGAGTAGGCAATTATATATATATATCCCCTACATCATGGAATGTTATGCAATCGACTTGAAATTCAACACTGGTCTTAGACAAAGTACAGGATTTTTCGCGTGCTTCTGCCTCCAAGTTATCAGCGGGGCTAAGCGGAAATCTAGTCGGAAAAACTATTTGATCCGAGAGCGCCATCCTGCAGCGAGCTATCTTCCAAAGATAGTTACCACATTTGCTAACAAGCCTCAACCGCTCGCTTACGCTCGCTTTGCTGCCGCGCTTGTGTGTGCATATCATCAAGAACACCAGGTGAACCTGGAACTGGAAAGCGACTTCCTCAATCTGTTTAGTAGAGACAAATTAGTCAAGGGCGAAGTGGAACGTAACGCTACTTAAAATGTGAACTCTTGTTGGTGTGAAGAGAGGACTTTTGATCAGAATGCAGTAAAAATGTAATGATGCAAGGCGGATCTGACGGCAGACTTCGCATGTAAGCAATGAAAGATAATGTGGGTAGAATGCGATCAGGTGGGCGCTGTCACTGTGAAGGAAAAGAAGTGGAAAAGGAAAAAACAGCGGAGATTGCTGAGATTAAATATCCTTGGCCAGCTCCCAGGCGGGGTTCAGTTCTGACTGAGCCTCGCTAGAAGGCTGGTAGATGACCTGGATAATGTTGGTAAACTATACCTAGAAACCCAGGCGCACGCTTAAAATATCTTAATGCACACGAGCCTCTGTGTACAAAGACATTGCAGAGCTAAGCTTAAAACAGAAGACTCTGCAAGATTGATTTTACAGCTTATTAATAGAAGAGATAGAACTGTAACTATAGTAAAAGCATATCTGTAAAGTAAAATAAGATTGACTTGAGAATAAGTTGAATAATGATATAGATAATTGATGAAAGACTGAAGAGAGATCTGTAGAACTAAGAGATAAATTAATTATCAAAGATAATAACTGCAGCTGTTTTCTCAATTGAGTTAAGAATAAAGTTAATAAGAGATGTTTTCTATAATATCTGATAATATAGTAAGCTCTTTGAATAATAGTTTTCTTTTTACAGACTACTGTTAATAAAGATATATCAGAACTATGACTCTTATAGTGATAAAACTTAATCTTAGATAATATATCTATTTCAATAGACTGTTCACAGGCTTAAGAGACTACTGTTAATTATATAAAGTATTAATATATCTAGAATAACAGAGAGAGTTCAGACTTATTTATTATAAAATCTATAACTGTAGAAGAATCTGATTTTACTATACATGTTTATTTACAGTTCTACACAGTGTAAAGAGATAATCAGTGATAGAAAAGATATAATAAGAGATGATTACAATATCTGAGTTCTTTAAGTATGATATTGAAGACAGACAGCTGTAGAAGTAATAGAATATTATAAAGAAATGAATTGATCAAGACTTAAGAGACTGATTTTATAAGCAGTGAACACAGACTTTTAATACATTATTCATTCTTGAGAATCTATGAGAGATGATTGATTAGATATATTATCTATTTAAGAATCTGTACAGAGTAGATTATTAATTAGATATGTTATCTATTCAAGAATCTGTACAGAGTAGATAGTTAATAAGATATGTAATCTATTATTCAAGAATCTGTACAGAGTAGATGTAGACTACTGAGATAAAAGAGCTCAGTCATCACCAGCACTGCTGATAGAAGAGTCAATCAATCTCTGAAACCCTCAACAGTAGATGATATTGTGAGATGATTAATCTGTTGTATTCATGTAGAAAGAGCTAGCTATATATATATTACATATGAGATCATGTGTAGGCGGAGCAGTCACTACAGCAACATCACTAGGGCGGATGCTACAGATATGATAGTGCAATGTCATGGAATTGCACTTCACTTAATTCTACACCAATCAGTGGGCTGTATTCATGTCAAGAACCTCAAAAAGGAAATTCTCCACTTTTAATGACCAGGGTTTTCATCATATATTTGCTTCGCTTCGCTCCGCAAATAACTCAGGTGCAGTAGGCTAATGAAGATTCAGTGTATTGATAGTGTGAATTGCTCTTGGTTTGTCTTTTAATACATCATGCCTTTGACTGACTTTTGCTGAGCTCTGTTGAAAATCCAACATCAGTCTCTCCCGAACGCAATTCCACACAACAGCCAAGTCTATGTCTAAGACCCTCACAAGTTTTGAAAGTTGCGAAATCAGCCTAAGCATACCAATAATTACATGTACCCGATTCACTCCAAGATTGAGCAACAAGATTGAGAATATGGTGGGCCTCTAATTAATGTCTTTTTGTTGTTTTCCCTGCCTCTTCTCCTACCAATGTTACAAAACTCTGATCGTATGAGTCTAGCGCTGCAGACAAAAAAGCATTGCTATTGCTATCTAATCACTCTTTATATAGCCAGTGAAATCTCGACGACATGATCCACAGGTCTCTGGGTTAGGAGAGAGGCACCCTGGGCAGAACCTGTGCCCACATAGGAGGGTTTTCCACTCTGAAGGGATAATATAGCATATTGAACATTAACATCAATGCTCCAGCTCACTGATCTCAGTCTCTAGCTTGCAGATCTGCTTATTTTTCCTGGTCAGCTCTGCACAGTGCTTGATTTCTAGCTCAGTATTCCACTTCTTCAGATGCTGCACTTCTTCTTGAAGATCCCTGATCTTTGTGAACTCTGTTTCAAATATGATGTGAATTTCTTGATTTGCTGTTATCTATCCTAATATCAGTAAAGGACAAGTCCAGCTTGACTGAGAGAAAGATCTTATCAGAACTACTTTCAAGTTGGGTATTTTGTGTTTCTTCAGTGACTGTGATGTTGTGGATGCGGAGGAATTGAGGAGCGCTGGGCCATCAAACAGAGCCTCATACTCCGGGAGGGTATAGTCCACAAGGCGTCTCTTTCTCCGTAGCTCTCGCGGCGGGGACCGAGGTGTGTCCATCTCTGCATCTGTATCGTCATCGATGACGATGGCGCTGCGGGGTTCAGCTTCGGTAGAAGCCATGGCTGAACAGGACCCCTCGGTGGATGGAGAGTGGAAAAGGAATTGAAAGAAATATGGAGTCAGAGAGGGGGGAGAAGGCCATATATATACCCAACGGCCGAAGGAGCCCAACGGCCGAAGGAGAGGTCACGGGATTTTACCTCTCCGTTGACATACAGCTTGCGTATCAGGATGGCGGAAAGGGGTGTTGATGCGGGATGTCGCTCCGGCTGTTAACCAGGACTGTTAGGGGTGAGAAGAATGATGGATCTGGAGGGGAAGGGAGCCCTCTATATATACCAAGAAATGGGGGCAAGTCACGGGGTGCCCGTCTCGGGTTCCAAGGTTGCTCTCCCCAGGCATTCAAGCACGGCGCAGCAGCCAACAATATCCGAGGGCGAAGTCTGAAAATAGAACTCATGCAGCAATGGCGTCCCTTCCACAGCTGTCGCAGTAGAAGAGGGGATCGCATGGCAGTGCGATGGACAGGAGGGCTCGGCTTCTCTGGTTTTATTCAAGGCCACCCTACCCTCACCTGCCCACCAAGGGCCGTTAATGAACAGCCAGGAGAGGCCACCTTTAGGCCATCTTATTCATGATATCACTTTTATGTACATGGACATGGAGTAGCATTATGTCTCACCACTCGGGGGCTGCAGATGCTACTGTGGCACCGGCGGATTCGACTGTACGCATTCCCTTCTCCGAAGTGTAGACACCCGCTGGCGCAGCGCTGATTCCATCCTTTCTGGAAAACACCTCTCTATCTCCGGCCAGGGTTGGCGCTCCTCCATCATGCTCAAAAGCCGTGCGTCATCCGCCGGGAGCCATTGCCACAGCTTGTCTCTGTGGCCCTTTCTCCCCTCGCCGCGCTCATGCTTGTGAGGAGCCGAGCGACCGGCTGGCCGCACACTCTCGTCTCCCCATATTGCCGGCGCTGAGTGGGGCATGCAACTCACCAAAGCACCTTCAAACAGCCAAGAAAGGAACTGCAGACACTTGTTGAGCTGTAGTAACAGGACATGGGAGTGAAGGGCTGTGAAGAAACCTTTCATAGCCAATACAGAGACAACGCGAAGCCGCTTTGTGGCTGGTTCTTCTGGTTGCTGTGGCCCTCACTTGCATCTCCTGAACTGTTCATCACTGAGGAAGTCGTCGCTCATGCTGTAGGAGCAAGGCACAACATCAGTGCCACAACAGGCGGGGTGAATCTGCCAATGATCCAGAACATGAGTGTTATCATCTGTTTGAGAATTTCTATTCCAGCTGTCAGGCCTCTCTCAGAATTCTTGATGATGATTGAAGACATCACAGAACATAGATAGATAGAAGAGATTCAGAATATAAATAAATAATCTTTAAGTTTGTAAGATCATCATCTTACTGAACAGACTGATAAAGATTACTAATATCTCAGAGTGTATTATTAGCAAGAATCACTGAATTAATAAGAATGTTATTCTGAAGATCTGAGAGTCTGAAAAAAGCTTCTAAGCTATTATCTGAGCTGATTATACTTAGTAATAATAAATCAGTCTCTGTAATATCTCTCTCAAGAGAAGATAGTTTAGTCAGTGTATCAGAGATATTATCTTAGACATTATAGACAGAAATGAGATATAAATTCAGAGTATGATATATCAGATTACAGAGAGATAATACATTATACTGAAAATTCTCTGAACTGAGTGATAGTATAAATATCTCTCTTGATTAAGAGAGAAAGTTCAACAGTGTATATAACTGAGTATTACTGCTAATAGATATACAAACTTCAGCTGATAGCTTTAAAGAAAGATTATACTTAAGAAGCAGCAGAGTGTTAAAGAAGACATTATAATGTAAGACTGAGAGAGAGAGTTTTCTAACTTCTGAGATATAAGAATTGAGATATTTATACAGTGAGAATGACTTGAGATGCTGCAGTATTCACAGTTTGAAGTTATTTACATGAAATGTAAGTGTTATCTGAGTAGATAATTGAGAATCTGAGAGAGAAGATAGTCAGAGATGAATTAAGAGAGTGAGAAGAAGAGTGAGAATTGAGTCTGAGAAAAGAGTGTGTGAGAGCGAGAGAAACAGATTATCAAGTGTCAGTGATTTCATAGAAGACTCAGTTATCTCTTTATAGTTACTCTTATCACAGAGATTTCAGCTGTCTTATTATCTCTCATAGAGAAGAAAGTAACAGATCTCTCTGATTTCTGAATCTTTTCTGAGACTGCTGATATATTCATTCTCATCTGAAAGCTATCTAGAGATTGATAATCAGTGCTCTACATTAATTGTATATAACTATTATCACTTTTAACTCTGATATGTTAAGTATGTAATTTGAATAAAACCACAACTTAATCAATCTGCAGATATATACTGATATTAAAAAAGAAATGCAGCAATTTTACTATTAACTAGAGAAAGAGAATAAGACAGTCTGTCTTAATAAGTTAAAGAGTAATACAACTCTTCATCACTCAGAACTTAGTAAGTATTTTAACTTTAAAAGATGTAAAAAGTCTACACTGAATAGATCAGTATAATATTATAGATTTTATATAACAAAGAGAAAAACATTAGAGAAGAAAAAGAAAGAGAAAGTGTGAGAATCAGTGATTGAAGTAGATATTTATACATGTATATAGTAATATATGCAGTGAGGCTTCAGAGTGAAAGAATCTATACAGGTTTATAATAATCAAGAATCAGTGATTAAGAATGACTGAGAATTAGAGTGTACACAGCTGAGAATCAGCAATTGAGAGTGACTGAGAATCAGAGTGTATGCATTTAAGAATAAAGTGATTGAAATCTGTGAAGTGTAATGAAATAGTCTATATAATTGATCAGATACAGTCTGTCACATTAAGTTCTCTCTTTCAGAAGCAGTTCTTATCAGTCAAGAGCTGCTGTTTCAGATAATACAGAACTCAGAGTTCAGATCAGTTAATTATAACTAACTCATTTCATAAGATATTATCAGCTGCAGCTGTGAGATCTCTTATTAAGAATATTCTCAATCTCTTACTCAAGCTTATTATCTTCTTCTATAATGCCTGGCAGCTGCCAGTTGAAAGTCAGTTGAGAAGAGAATGAGTCAGTGACAGTGTGACAGAGCAAGCTTGTATAAAAGATATTATAAATCTCTGATAATATATCAAGATAATAGTTATAACTATCTAGAACTTCTATCACTTTATACTTGATATAATGATAATTCAGTGTATAAGATGAATGTGTGATCTGTATATTCTTAAGATTTAATCACATTAAGTCTTCTATCTTATATTGTTCAGTGAGATCTTGATAAATATTGACTTAATTCTCTTAATCTTATTTCATAGTTATTATGAAGACCTCTGCTCAGTCACAGTCTCATAGATATTTCAGAGCTTTATTACTATATTATCAGTAATCTGAATCAGACTGCAGAGATTCAGTGTGAACTGTGTAATCTTTAGAAGATTTAACACTTTTATGTAATAACTGTGTGTAAAAAAGAACAGGTTTATATCTATTGAAATAACATCTCAATTATTAATAGTAATCTCTATGTATAGAAGAAGATTATATCAATTATCTTATAAGTAATTATAGAACTTATGAAGATAATTCTTCACAGTCTGAATTATTCATTCTGACACATTATCAGTCTTGAGATAATAGATAGTTGACAGATAATGTATAATCTTGAGAACTTGATAGATTCTTATTCAGAAAGTGTGGTTCGGAAGAACGTACGACTGTCGGATAATAACGCGGCCGCTTCCGAACTACTAGCGTACGCGTACAAGTGTAAAGGGGTCATAGCAGCTGCTAATTAAATTAGTGTACAATATTACAATATATAAGAAGCCGGTGTACACCTGTAATTATACACTGGCTTAAGCAATCTTTGAATCACATCTGATAGCATGTCTAAAAATCAGTGAGAAGTGCAGGCTTCTCCAGAGTGTGATAATTCTGTCTATGAAGTGATTCATAGTTATCATGTCAGTGTGGTTCTAGAAATGCCTTAAAAGATAGTGTACAAAGAGTGATGAGTGAAAGAGTATTCAATTGATGCTGCTTTGCTTATTAGGGGAAAACTTCACACTCAGACAAATGCCATGTATGAGACATGAACAGATGAGATGTGAGAAAGAAAATGAGAGCAGTGAACCAGATTCAAAGAAGTTCACTCTCTATTCAAAAGAAGGATAAAAAGAGAGAAGTGATCATCATCAGAGTCATACAATAATAACAGAAATCATATAACAATATAGTGATATAATGATACAGTGATATAGTGATATAATGATACAAGTAATATAACAATAGATATTATACAATCAATCAGAAACTACTGAAATGAATATCTTCTCTAGTTAATATGAATAACACTCTTCTCTGCTATCTAAATCAGAAGATATGCAGAACCTCTTAGAGAGTTTACTTAAAGCAGTAAGAAAAGCAGCTGAGATTATCAAATCAGAATCAAAGCTCTGTATATATATGAGAATTCTAAATGAGATCAAGGCCTTGTGTATGCAGTGGCAGGCTGAGATGAAAGTCAAACAATAATTAGCATTCACTGCAGATCAAGCATTCACTATAAAGAGCTTCATCAATGTAATCATTATCATTAATAAGAATAGAGAAAACCAGATCTTAGATCTGTAGTGAGAGATTGAATATTTACACAGATAGATAACTACACTGAATCTGAAGATCTTATCATGATTATTCACAATCTCTTTAGAAGTGTATATATTATCAGAGATCACTGCACAGAATGAGAATCTGAGTATAAGATATATTAAGTCAGAAGATCTGCTGAAGTTATCAAGCTTTAATAGTAACTGAAAAAATGATGCTGCAATCAGCTGACTAAGTCAGATATAATTATATTATCAGATTGAATATGAACTCACAGACAGACAGTTAACAGAATTTTAACAAGTCTTAAGATCTGCTGTATTTCTATGTGAAAAAGTGAAGTCATTATAAATGACTGATGAAAAGATGAATCTCATAGATCTGAA